GGATATATGTTAATTATATTTTAAGTTTATTTACTGGTGCATATATCATAGTGCCATTTTGATTTGCAGTCAATTATATTTTTTGATTTAAATTGTGTTTGGTGGACTGTATGCTCATTTCTTGTACTGTACGTTCACTTAATAACATTTACATGATACATCAGGATGGTTCAAGTAAAGATCATCACACAGACAGAGAAAACACGAGCGAATTTCATGATGTGAATGAAATGCCTGATCATAATATTCACATTTCAGCAGAAGAAGAGACAGTTTGTTTTCTCGATATTAATATTTATTGTCAATATCACATTTTATAGTTAACAGCTCTATGAAAGTAGGTGTATATTTAGTGTTTGTTTTCCCTATAAATGAAGTATATTTTTTGTATATTCAGTGTTCTTATTGCAATGATAGTATTTTAAAGTTTAATTATTTTTGTCATATAATTCTATTGCAATGTTAAGGTATATTTGTAGACAACTTTCTAATACATTCAAGGTTTTATTTGCATGATATCTTAGTTAATAATACACTTTTTTTTGCTTGAACACCTTGGTTTTTAATTGGAGGTCTGAGTTTTTTAGTATATTTTCCAGTTTATTGATCACAACTTGTACCTAAAATGCTTAGTTCAATGATAATTATATTTTTCATAACACTTTTTATTTCAGCTCAAAGATATGCAATGTTTATTTTCAGTCATATGTTACTTTTTTTATTACTGATTTTTATGACATTGTAGTAATGTTTTTTTTTAAATATGTATAGCCTTTACAGAAGCCAGCTGACGTTAATGTTGAGACCTCAAATGAGGTATCATTATCTTTTTTTAATTTTCTTTAAACGCATATGAAGCACGAGTTTCTTTTGTTTATATCTTTCTTTTTTCTAAAAAAAACAGACGAGTGTCAAGTCTCCCGTCATAGCCTTCAGAACAAAATCTGAAGCACTTATGAAGAGCAAAGCAGACAAAGTAAGCATATCATTTTACAAAATATACCCAACTACATATGTCCTTAAATTTCAAAAATTTCTTTTTTATTATTACT